CGCTGCCGCTGCCGCCGCCGACGACGACGGACGACGGACGACGGACGACGACGACGACGCCGACGACGCCGACGACGACGACGACGGACGACGGACGACGGACGACGGACGACGGACGACGGATGACGGACACCGGACGACGACGACGACACGGACGACGGACGACGGACGATGGACAACGGACGACGGACGACGACGACGACGACGACGGCGACGACGACGACGACGGACGACGAGACGACGACGACGACGGACGACGACGACGACGACGGACGACGGACGACGGACGACGGACGACGGACGACGGACGACGGACGACGGACGACGACGACGGACGACGGACGACGAACGACGGACGACGACGACGACGACACGGACGACGGACGACGGACGACGGACAACGGACGACGACGACGCCGACGACGACGATGACGACGAACACGACGACGGACGACGGACGACAGACGACGGACGACGGACGACGGACAACGGAGGACGCCGACGACGACGGACGGCGGACGACGGACGACGACGACGACGCCGACGACGCCGACGACGACGACGACGACGGACGACGGACGACGGACGACTGACGACGGACAACGGACAACGGACGACGACGACGACGACACGGACGACGGACGACGGACGATGGACAACGGACGACGACGACGACGACGACGACGGATGACGAGACGACGACGACGACGCACGACGACGACGACGGACGACGGACGACGGACGACGGACGACGAACGACGGACGACTACGACGACGACACGCACGACGGACGACGGACGACGGACGACGAACGACGGACGACGACGACGACGACACGGACGACGGACGACGACGACGCGGACGACGGACGACGGACGACGACGACGCCGACGCCGACGATGACGACGAACACGACGACGGACGACGGACGACGGACGACGGACGACGGACGACGGAGGACGACGACGACGACGACACGGACGACGCCGACGCCGACGACGCCGACGACGCCGACGACGACGACGACGACGGATGTCGGACGACGGACGACGGACGACGGACGACGGACGACGACGACGACACGGACGACGGACGACGGACGATGGACAACGGACGACGTCGACGACGACGACCACGACGACGACGACGACGACGACTGACGACGGACGACGGACGACGGACGACGGACGACGACGACACGGACGACTGACGACGGACGACGGATAACGGACGACGACGGACGACGCTGGCGCCGACGATGACGACGACGACGACGACGGACGACGGACGACGGACGACGGACGAGGGACGACGGAGGACGTCGACGACACGGACGACGCCGACGCCGACGTCGACCACGACCGACGGACGACGGACGACGGGCGACGGACGACGGACGATGGACGACGACGAGGACGACGACGCGGACGACGGACGACGACGGCGGACAACGGACGACGACGACAACGACGACGAGACGACGGACGGAGGACGACGGACGACGACGACGCTGACGGACGACGGACGACGGACGACTGACGACGGATCACGGACGATTGAGGACGGACGACGACACCGGACGACGGACGACGGACGACGGACGACGGACGACTGACGACGGACGACGAACGACGGACGACGGACGACGACGTCGACACGGGACGACGGACGACGGACGACGAACGACGGACGACGACGACGACGACGACGGACGGACGACGACGGACGACGGACGACTGACGACGGACGACGGACGACGGACGACGGACGACGAACGACGGACGACGGACGACGACGTCGACACGGACGACGGACGACGGACGACGGACGACGAACGACGGACGACGACGACGGCGACATGGACGACGGACGACGGACGATGGACAACGGACGAAGACGACGCCGACGACGACGACGACGACGGACGATTGACGACGGACGATTCGCGACGGACGACTGACGACGGACGACGGACAACGGACGACGACGACGCCGATGACGCCGACGACGACGACGGACGACGGTCGACGGACGACGGACGATGGACCAGGGACGACGAACGACGGACGACGGACGACAACGACGTCGACGGACGAATGGACGACGGACGACGACGACAACGGCGACGGACGACGGACGACGGACGACGGACGACGGACGACGACGGACGACTGACGACGGACGACGGACGACGGACAACGGACGACGACGACGACGACGCCGACGACGACGACGACGGTGACGACGACGACGACGACGGACGACGGACGACGGACGACGACGGACGACGACGACGACGATGGACGACGGACGACGGACGACGGACGACGGACGACGACGACGACGACGGTGGCGACAACGACGAAGGACGACGGACGACGGACGACGGACGACGGACGACGGATGACGGACGACGGACGACGACGACGACGACGGACGACGGACGACGGACGACTGACGACGGATCACGGACGATTGAGGACGGACGACGACACCGGACGACGGACGACGGACGACGGACGACGACGACGACGACGACGGGACGGACGACGGATGACAACGACGACGACGACGACGGACGACGGACGACGACGACGACGAACGACGGACGACGACGACGGACGACGACGACGACGGACGACGGACGACCGACGACGGGACGACGGACGACGGACGACGACGACGACGACGACGCGACGGACGACGACGGACGACGGACGACGGACGACGGACGACGGACGACGACGACGACGACGGACACGACGAGACGACGGACGACACGACGGACGACGGACGAGGACGACGGACGACGACGACGGACGACGACGACGAACGACGACGACACGACGGACGACGGACGACGGACCACGGACGACGGACGACGTGACGACGACGGACGACGACGACGACGACGACGACGACGGGACGACGGACGACGGACGACGGAGGACGACGACGACGACGACGACGACGACGGTGACGACGACGACGGTGACGACGACGACGGACGACGGACGACGGACGACTGACGACGGACGATGGACGACGGACGACGACGACGGACGACGGACGACGGACGACTGACGACGGACGACGGGCGACTGAGGACGGACGACGACGACGACGGACGACGGACGACGGACGACGGACGACGGACGACGGACGCCGACGACGACGACGCCGACGCCGACGATGACGATGACGACGACGACGACGGACGACCGACGACATTCGACGGACGACGGACGACGGACGACGGACGACGGCGACGACACGGACGAAGGACGACGGACGACGGACACCTGACGACGGACGACGACGACGACGGACGACGAACGACGGACGACGGGACGGACGACGGACGACGACGACGACGACGACACGGACGACGGACGACGGACGACGGACAGCGGACGCCGACGACGACGACGACGCCGACGACGACGACGACGATGGACGACGGACGACGG